TACATACATATTGAGCAAAACAGATACCTTAATTGTAAATTTGCATTCTTTTTCTAGCTTTTTATCATAAGCATGTTTCCATAAATATTATTATTTGTTGGTAGCATATTATTCCATTTTAAAGTTCTGTTTTGGTTCACATAATTATAAATAGTCCCTGTATATAGCCTTTGTTGAATTTTTTTTTCTTTTTTTTTTGGTAATCCTCACCTGAGGCTATTTTTTTCATTGATTCTTAGAGAAAGTGAAAAGGAAGGAGGGAGAAAGGGAGGGAGAGAAGGAGAGAGGGAAAAAGAGAGAGAAAGAGAGGGGAGAGAGAGAGAGAGAGAGAGAGAGAGAGAGAGAGAGAGAGAGAGAGAGAGAGACACATACATTAGTGTGTCTCACATTGATTGGTTGTCTCTTGCAAGAGCCCCAACTGGGAGGGGATGGAATCTGCAACCCTTTGGTGTTTGGGCTGATGCTCTAACCACTAAGCCATGATAGCAATGGTGCCTTTGGTTGAATTTCTCATCATTTCCTCTAGATTGATTTCTAGAAGTAAAATGATTGGGTCAAGTTTATGACTTCTTTTAGGAAGTCATTACTTGCTTGTCATCATTGAGTAATATAATTTTTCTTTGCAAAATTGCTATATGAAAAATATATCCATTTCTTGTCTTTCATTGGTTAATATTGAGCTTACATTTTTCATTTTTTATTAGCCTCTTAGAAATTTTATATTTTTTGTTCCATGAATTGTCCTAGTGTAAAGAATCATTAGTTGACTGTTACCAAATAACTAACGTCAGTTTTCATCCCAAGTATCAAGTCATTCTTTTGTCAAACTTTAAAGGAGAAAATATGTGTTCAGTTTACATTTTTGTTTTAAATGTCCCTGAAAAAAAAATATACTTCTGTAGAATAAAAAAACAGGAAGACAGTCTGGCTGGTATGGATCAGTGGTTGAGCTCTAATCCATGAATCAGATTGTGGTCTCGATTCCCAATACAGGGTGTGCAAGAGGCAGCTGGTCAGTGATTCTCTCTTATCATTGATGTTTCTAGCTCTCTCTTTCTCTCCTTTCCTCTCTCTGAAATTAATAAAAAACACATTTTAAAAAACACATAAGAAAAAACACACCAGGAAAACAAATGGTCCATATCAAAACTGATATGACTTCACACATATAAGACATAAATGGTAAGACTCCTATTATAGAAATGACCTCACAAAACAACCATTATTGTATTTGTAATTTAAAAGTAACACAAGTTTACTGGGAGGCAAGGGGGAGGGTCAAAAAAAAGTATAACAAAGAAATAAAATTCATCTTTTATTCTACTACCCAAAGATAATCACTGTTAATATTTTGGTCTATATCTTTCTAGACTTCTTCCTGCAAATATACTATGACATTCAACAATGTCATGGCTGAGGGAATTGGGGACAGATAAGAAAGGGTGTGATTTTTCTTTTTTTCTTTTTTGTGTTTCAGATGTTTTTGAGACAAATGGCTTTAAAAGAAGGAATAGGCCTGCTCCCCAGGCTATGTTGTGTTTTATTCATACGTGGACTCCCTAATTCAGTAAATATTAACCACTTTCTATGTGTCCTGTATTAGTTTAGGGGCCCTTCATTATGTGGGCCTCCGGCTTTCTCCTTCAAGTGGGGGACACATCAGTTCAGAGAGACTTGCCCAAAGTCACATGAAGAAGTGACAAGACCAAAGCCTGTATTTCCCCCCACAATCGTTTAACCTCTTTAATGAATGGAAAACAGCATTTCTGATGAATAAGAAATCTCCATCTGTCACCAAATTCAATCCTGAAAGTTTTTTTGAGTGTTACTTCTTGGACACTTCAACATCGAAGCCATCTTTAAATATTTACTAAAAATATATATTTTTAATATTTAAAATTTTAATCTTAGTGGAGCTGTTTTCTTTTGGGAAAAGACTTTCTTGATTAGTACATATTTTCTTTGGCAATTAATAACCTTTCCTTGTTTTAATAACTTTTTAAATTGTGGTAAAATAACACATAACATAAAATTTACCATTTTTATCAGTTGTACATTTCTGTGGCATTAAGTACATTCACATTGTGTGCAATTGTCATCACTATCCATCTGTAGAACTTTTTCACCATTCCAGACTAAAACTCAGTACCCACTGAACACCACCTCCCCATTCTTCCCAAGGACTATCTTTTTTAAAGGAGATAAGCTTTAATAAGCTTATTTTTCTTTCATGAATGAGTACATAATTGTTTCAGGAATATGAAGAAAAGGGATATTTGTTAATATAATGGCAAGTGCAGAACCTACTGACAAAGGTATATAATTTGTAAAAATAGCTGAGTGGGCAAAATTCTGATTTCAGTTGCCCTAGGCACTTCAGTGCACTTCTGATGATGATTTTCCTTGGGCTTGTAGTTATACTGATAGAAATCACATCCGTGCATAAAGAGTGAGCTTAATTATGCATAACTACATATGATGATGAGGTTTTACATTTTTTTTACATATACTTTCTTATTTACAAAAGAGGAGACATTAATTCTAACTCATCTCAAAAAAGTCGTGTGTGTCACCCTCAGAGCATGAGAATTTTACTGTACATTATCCTTTTTTGCAAGAAGACACTATATCTTGCCCCACCCCCACTTCTCCCACTCCCAATCCCATTCTGGAAGCTGTTTTCGTTATATGGGACCTCCACAGTTCCCTCTGGTCCTTGTTGTGACTGAGGACAGGGAGGTATACAAAGGCTGAGTTAGGGTTTAGGGTGGTGGAGCAAACTCACGATTGCAAATGACACTTCTTTACATCCTCAACTGATCTGTACAGAGCCTCATCATTTAAGCTCAACACAGTAAAAATTAAAAGCAACCCGAATTGTTTCCTTGCTAATGTATGCCCCAGACACTGTGCTAAATGCTTCACATGTATGATTCCATTTGATCCTCACAATCCTAGGAGATGGGAGTCAAATTTCCATATCACTGATGGGAAAACTAAGGAACAGGGAGATATATAACTTGCCAAAAGCACACAGTTTATAAGTAACCAACTGAGGGTTCAGACCCAGGCAGTCTAGAGGCCTTGTTCCTGGCCACTCTGTTAACACGTGCTCCTGGTCCAGGTTTGACAGACACCAAGGTTTCCTTGTAAGAGCGTCAGGGTTAAACACACACACACACACACACACACACACACACACACACACACACACACACACACTTCCCTGTGTGGTGAGGTGACTGGGGAGTCCCAGGGGAGGTTAGGCACTGGGTTTGGAGGTAAATGCTCTCTAGCAAGGGAGGGAAATGGGAAAGGTGTGGTTATCTCCTTCTCCCCTGTTTGTTCCTTGGTTGGTGAGAGGAGGTGGGGAAGTCTTTGCGCTGATTCCAGAGGAGTCAGGTCATTCTCTGTGCTTCTCTCTGGTTTTCTGCCCCTTTGCCCCCGGTCTCCACATTGCTATCTCCTCCTCAGAACTGCTTTCTCTCGAGAGCCCCTTCTCCAGAATGTAACCCTCAAGTTCTCTCCTACCTCCCAGGCCTCCTGAGCAGCCTTCTTTCCTGAGTGGGTCGTTAGGACAGTGCTGGGCTATAATGACCGGCTCTCAGGTGGGCATGATTCCCCTCCTCACAGTTTCCCACTTCTCCCAGGAACACAGTCCCGTCTGCATTCCTGAAGGAAGTTTTAATGCAAATGACTCCCCCAGTGAGGGCACATTTCTGGACAAAGAGATATTGATGGATCCTGCCAGAAATCGAGGAGGCTTAGTCCCTGTGTCCCAGCATCGGGAGTGGGCCAGGGTGACCTAGGAGCCTCGGAACCTCAGTGGAGATCCTGGCCCACTCGACCTCTGGTCCCCTCTACCCTCTAGTGGGGCCAGAAACACTCCTCTGAACCCTGCTCACGGTTTCTGCTCTCAGGTACAGTCGTCCACACACAATTTAAAATGAGGAGAGGTAACATGTCCTGGGAAGATTCCTAACCCCAAATAACATGTTTGCAGAGGTCTCATAATTTTTGTGAGTTAAAGTCATGTTTCAGGAATAAGCCCTTTATATCTATAGGTGGCATCTCTGAATAATTTTGTGGATCCTTGAGATCTATAAACCTCCCCCCCTCCCCCCAAATCAAGATGCCAAACTATGCTGAGGTCTCAGTGTACTTTGGGTCATTAAACTCCCCTGCTACCTCCTATAGAGGGTAGCAAGGTTTCCTACATTTCACCTGAATAATTGTACTTCAACTTATGTGGAAAATGTTTTCTGGTGAGTTTCAATGTGATGACATGATAGTCAGCATATCATTGTAAGATAGCTCCATGTAACAGCAGTGCTGTTTGTGGTTGAGTCCTAGGAAGCATTTGTTTAGTTACCTATCTGTATATATAAAAACCTAAGTGACCGTTACCACTGGTTGACTGGTCACTATGATGTGCACTGATCACTAGGGGCAGACACTCAACACAGGAGCTGCCCTTGGTGGTCAGTGCACTCCCACAGCCAACCTCCCATGACTGGCCAACCTCATGTGGTCCCTCCCCTCAGCTGGCCAACCTCCCACAGTCCCTGCCCTCCAGCCAGCTGGCCCCGATCAGGACTGGTCGAGATGGCCCCCATCATCCCCAATCACTGGCCAGGCCAAGGAACCCTACCTGTGCATGAATTCATGCACCGGGCCTCTAGTGTCATATAAATAAAAAGAGTGAAGACTATGTTTAGGATGGGGACCTGCTAGTTACCAACCAAGGGGCTCGAGGTATTCTTTCACTCCCCTCCACACTCTGTCTTCTTTTCTGCCCCCTTCACATCATGACGACAGTGTGGAATACTGTCCTTAGCCTGTTCTGAACACACTGCCCTATTTGGTCACTTAATTATCCCCAAGCTACTGTCTGTGTCACATCATGACAAGAAAAAGCGTGTTTTCCAATGACATTAATCTAAGAGCAACCAGAAATGGCTTCTTTTCATTTTCTATCCTTTATTTCATTTTAATTACAGCCGCTTGGAGCCAGTGATTATTTGGAACTATCAAAGAATTTTGATACAGTATTTTTGCGAAACATTCCCCAATTTACACTGTCAAAAAGGAGTCAAGCTCGAAGATTCATAACTCTCATTGATACCCTCTATGATTTCAAGGTAAGGGCGAAATGTGCATTTTCTCTAAACTGAACCTTTCGGACTGTGGAACTATTTCTCTTGGGCTGGAATCCTGGTCTACCACTTCGTTTACTTCAGTGTGCCTCAGTTTCCTCATCTGTAAATTGGGGCAATAATACAATTTCCTCCAGAGAACCGTGAGGACAAAATAAGCTAATCTGTGTAAAGCATTTTAAAAACAAATGTTTGGCACAAGCTGAGTGCCGTGTAAATATTAGTAGTGATAGCACCAGGAGTGATGGTAGTATAATAAAACTCACATCCTAAGACTCTCTGCTGTATTAATGATTCCATCATTCAACTAGGCACATCCTGTGCTCTGTCTGTGACCATGTACAACACAGTTCCTTGCCTAGACTCAGGGTGCAGTACATATGTGAGGGGCGTTGTGTGAACTCAGCAGTCACCCACCCAGCACAGTGGTGACCTCTGTACAGTGCATCTGGAGTGTGTCTCTGATGCACACAGAGACAGGCTCCACAGCCAGGTATACCCGCCACCCTCGTGTGTAATGGGAAGAGCCTCGGGCTCAGAACCGGAAGGTCTGGCCTGGCGTCGCGAGCAGAGGCCTCTCCAGGCCTGAAGTTACCCAATAAGACCTTTGCTCCCTTCTTCACAGGCTGGGATAAGCCGTGTGGAAATATTTTGACAAGCATTGTGCAGTTTAGAAATAACACTTTAGATAGACACAAACTATTAGGAAAAGTATGGACATTTTGAAAGCAAAACCTAAGGTCTGTGTTATGACAAACAATTTCATTTTCTGATTTGTTCTTGCCTTCAACCCGTGAAGTGTGAGGAGTGACACCAGCTACGTGTTTCCCTCTTTCAGGTGCGCCTGATTTGCTCCGCGTCAGCTCCTTTACCAAGCTTATTCCTGCACCAGCCCCATGACAGCGAGTCGGAGCAAAACAGAATAATGATGGATGATTTGGGGCTGAGCCAGGTAGTTAATATTAACATAATCTTGTTTTATTATAAAACAGCTTATTGTTTTTGGTTTGACACATGGTTACATTTTGCAGAAGGAATGTAAGTATATATTTAACTGTTGATTTGCTGCTTCTTGAGCTGGGATAGCAGAGTTCCTCCCCATATCACTAACTGGAGAGAATTACAGTCTTAGAGTGAAAGAAATCCTAGTGATTGTATTTGCTTGTGACAAAAGCAGGACAGATTGGTAGACTAATGGGCATGTGGTCATACTTCTGACCAAGGCCAGCCCAGAACTGGATGCCTGGCCACCTGCTGCCTTTTCTGGGCATTCCTGTTCCTGTCTGCTGGGTTTGTAGAGTGCGTAATATAGTATCCAGGCATGTGGGCTGGCTATTTCAGGACCGTGGAGTGCTTAGCAAGGCCCTTGGCTTGCAAAGAAATTCATGATTCTTCTCCCAACCTCCATTCCCTACACATGTGTGGAGTACCTGTGGGTGCCAGGCTAGGGGACATCCTGTGGGGAACCAGCCAATGCCAGCCTACTTCCCCTGGTGCTGGGGTTTGGTGATTTCACCCAAGGCCACCCAGAAGTGACTACATTTCTTTCTTCTGTATAAACATAAATAAGTGTGTCAGGTTATATTTCTCAACTGTACACAATTGAAGTATTAGTCAATGCTGACACGATCCACAAATTAACTCAAAATGGATTAAAGACTTGAATACAAGACTTAAAATAATAAAATACATAGGAGAAAACATAGGCACTGAACTTAGGGACCTTGGTCTGAGAGGAGTTTTTGTGAATTTGACCTCAAGTAAAATAAAAAATGGACTACATCAAACTAAAATGCTTCTGCACAGCAAAAGAAGCCATCAAGGAAACAAAAAGGCCACCAACCCTAGAAGATAGTTGTAAAGGATACCTCCAATAAGGGAATAATATCCAAAATGTATAAAGAACTTGTACAACTTAAAAAAAAAAACACACCAATTTGATTACAAAATGGGCAGAGGACCTGGATAGATAGTTTTCCAAGGAAGACACACAAATGGCCAACAGATAGATGAAAAGGTGTTCAGCCTCACTATGTATAGTGGGGATGCAAATCACACCTGTTGGAATGGCTATTATCAAAGGAATAAATGTTGCATTTCCCAGCAACTCAAGCCCAGACGCAGCTCAAGCCTTCCCAGAGTAAGCCCCAGCTCAGCCTCCAGGCCCCTCTCAGTCATCCAGCTTGGAAGAGACTCCAAGATTCGTCCCCAGGGCCTCCCCTCACAAGGGCAGCCCTGTCTATCAAGCTTTGGAGGAAAGCACCAGCCTTTTTCTAATTTGCCGGACTACTGTCTTTTTGCTGTTACTTCTGGGCTGCAGTTTTGGTGAAAGAATTCCTTCTCTATCTGGAATGTCCTTCCTTTATAATTTGCAGAGAACTTTGAGCAAAAATGTTCACATTTGTATTTTGGGGTGTCCTATTAGCTTTAATTATTTTTCTGTTTTTTTCTCTGGTAATTTGTTCTGTCTGTTGGTTATTGGTTTAAATTAGTTGTTTCTCTAGTCTAATTTAAGAGATCGTCCATGAAGAAATTTATAGAACATTTTATAATCCAGACACATAAACCTGGAAAGTTTTTTGTTTTTTTTTAAAACCTGCACTTAGTTCTGCAAGTTCTCACTGGAAGTGGTTTTAATTGGTGGTGGGTTATTGTTTTGTTTTGTTGTTTTTTTCGTCACCAGGACTCAGCAGGTCTCTCCATGTTTACCGGAGAAGAGGAAATCTTTGCCTTTCAGCGCACAGTTTCCCGACTCACAGAAATGCAGACTGAACAGTACTGGAATGAAGGGGACAGAAGCGAGCTGTAACCGTCACTTCCGCATGCATGAAACGCTGGACAGATGATTCCCACAGGGAGAGCTCTTTATTATGGGACTTGAAAGAAATCATGTTCTCATCATTAATTATGCACTTTGTCCTGTGGACCACTTGTATCTAAAATCACTGTCAAAGATATAGTGGATTAGTAAGTTAAAGCCATTTCTGTAAGACTACTTTGTACCTATTTATAATATTTGGCCTTACTTCTGCACCACAAAAATAAAACCAGCACTGCTGAAGATTAAGGTAGGACCAGACATCTGGCTCCATGGAAAGCCACCTGAGTGAGCCTCGAGTACACACACGCGGGAAAGGCAGGGTGTCTGGACATGTCTGAGCTTTGGCTAGGTGGCAGCCGTACAATAGAAACACATCTTGTATGAGAGGAGGAAAAACCCTGCATTTCAACGGGAAGCAAAGAAAGCATTCTGATCTTACTATAAACTAAAGGGAAGATGGGCTTCTATATGTGATTGGGTCGGGGAAGTGGGGTGAGGGAGCTAGGAATTGTACTAAATCTCCCAGGTCTTCAGGTTTTCTCACAGCAGAGAATCTGTTTTTTTCCCTGAGGTCAAGCTTGGCAGGCAGGATGTGACCTGCCATGGACACAGAGTTGTCTGAAAAGATTGAAGATTATGACACCATGGGATAAGGTGCAAGAGTGTCAAATTCTAACCAACAGGCAGGTTCCCAAAACTCTGTAAGAGGACAGATAGCAGGAATAGGGACCTGTGACAGTGTCCAGAGGGGCCGAGTCCTGGACACACCGAGCAGCAGAGTGGTCTCCTGCCCATCGGAGGCCATTGGACCCCAACGGACAGCGGCTCCGCCCATCACTCATGCTCATCGGCTCTGGTTGCAGAGCGCCACTCCCCAGCCTTGCCTCTGCTTCTATTGTGAGAGGGACTTGATGGAAAATAGGAAAGAACACTTGATGAATCTACTTAAATAAAACTTGATTTATCCTGCATCAAAGTCATTCTGATTCATTCCAGTACAATCTGACTTTGCTAACTGTTGTTACAGAAAGACTCTTGGTTGAGGCTGTTACAAAAGTCTAAATTCCCCCTAAAAGGAAAAAGAGAAGCGAAAGAGTGAGAGAGTGAGAGAGTGAGAGAGTGAGAGAGTGAGAGAGAGAGAGAGAGAGAGAGAGAGAGAGAGAGAGAGAGAGAGAGAAATCCACAGTCTTATGGAAATCAAGTAGATTTTGGAGGTAGGTACAGGTGAGTCAGTTCGAATAAGTGAGTACAATCATCAAATAAGTAAGCTCTTTGAACCTACTTAATTTATAAGTTAAAGTTACTAATCTATCCACATTAGTCTGTTTTGAACATTAACTCAAGCCAAGCTGATAGATAGAGAGGGTACCCAAATATAGAGAAAAATTTAAGTCAAGGCTTCTAAAACTTAACTGTGGCTAAAAATATTTTTATTGACTTGAAACAGTGAGTTCAAAAAGAGGTTAAATAGATTAAGAGGGAGAAAGGATGGGAAATAATTGCCAGATTTATTGTTAGACATTTCATGATCTCAGAGAAAAAATTAATTCTGAGGAGTTAATAATTGCTGTTTACATATAATGAGACTGAAGCTTGACCTGAGATTCCATTTACAAAACTTCTATTATGTGTTATACCACATGACCTCTATGAAAAAGGAGACATTTTAAAATATATATATATATATTTTATTGATTTTTTTACAGAGAGAAAGGGAGAGGGATAGAGAGTGAGAAACACCGATCAGCTGCCTCCTGCACACTCCCTACTGGGGATGTGCCCGCAACCTAGGTACATGCCCTTGACCGGAATCGAACCTGGGACACTTGAGTCCGCAAGCCGACGCTCAATCCACTGACCCAAACCGATTAGGGCAAGGAGACATTTTTAATATTGATTTTTTTTTTAACTTAGTAAAGGTGAGTTTGCAATAGAACTATTGCTTTTAACTCAATAAATACAAAATGTTTAACTTTCTTCTTTCAGTCTTAGCATTTGGCTTTTCATATTTCTGTGGCAATTTGCTATGCCTTCATAAAAAGACAATGATGGACACAGACAAATGGATAGCTGACTGATGGAAACAAGGGGTTTAGGGTTCTAGGTCCTGACATTTGGGTTCCTGATTGATTGCGGGAACCTGTCTGGCAGCAAGGGTGTAAGTGATCTTGTAAGTGACCCTTATCAGATCCACTCACCTCACAAGATGTCCCTTGCTGGTATAGAAGAGGATTTTCTTTGGAGATGAGTGCACAGCTTTTTAAGGCAAAACTAAGATTCACTTCTCCCATTGGCATAGCAGTTCATTTTCCTGGAATAGAAAATTAAAAATAATAAAAATCTGTCCGCTTGTTGAGTGATGGCTGATTCTGTATAGCTTCGTTCTAGAAACCTCACATATCTCAGCAGGTCACTCAGCCCAGTCAGACGTGTCTGCTGACCTTTTGTCTCTGATGGCATGAGACTCCAGGAGGATGTCTGTCTGTCTTTCTTGCTTGCGTAGGAAGCCAATCGGAGGCTATCTTGGAAGTTTCCTCCCTCAGGGCTGTCCTTCTAGGTCGTATGGGTGACTGCTGCTGGTCCCCTGATGGTGCCTACAATTCTTACTGAGCACATGGCAAGGGCTCGGGGCCTGATTCTGCCAATTTTTACTTGTGACCTTGAACTAGTGCTCCGAGGCTCCTTTTTCTCATCTATAAATGAGAACAATACCCATTTCATAGAGTTATCCTGAGGATAAGGTTGGTAAAAAGCACTTTGCAAATGGTGAAAGATAAACGAACAGTTGTTATTGATACTGGTGATTATGATCATAAAATAACAGCAGAGACGCACTCTGCGTTGTGTTAGAGTCCCTGCGGATAGAGGACGCATCCCACCCCAAATCGGCTCCTCGCAGAAGGGAACGTTCACGTTAGGTGGCTGGACACCACTGGGGCCGGATTCTGGCTTAAGGAGATGCTGTGAAGACTGTGAAATTCAAATCCATCCCAGGGATGATAGGGAAAATGGATTGTTCCGGTTTGGTGAGCATCAAAGATTTTGCGGAAAGAGGGCCCCATCTTGTGGCCAGTGGGACAAACTGACAGAAAAAATGTCCAAGAATCACACAGGGTTCTCAAAGCTGCACCAATTCCCAGGCCTCACTCCCACCCCAATCCAGTCAGATGCAATTGGTCAGATGTGGGGCCCCAGGATCAGTACTTGCTAATGCTGCATGGGATTCTAATGTTGATAACCACTGACTAGGAGGTCTTGGTCATGACCACACAGCCAATAAGTACATAGGCTTGGGCCTGGCTGGGCATCCTGACTCCACACCAGACCACTTCCCTGAGAGCAGAGGCTGCTGCTCAGGGTCTGGGCCAAGGCACACTATGGCATCCCGCTGACCTCTCTGCCACCTCCCAGTGCCTGGTCCTCTCCTTCCTCTGCTTCTCCTCCTTCCCTAGGCTCTCTTGCATGTTTTCTCCACCCGCACGGACAGCAGAATAGCTAAACCAGCAGCGATTTCTTTCTTTTTTTTTAACCTTCACCTGAGAATATTTTTTCCATTGATTTTTTAGAGAGAGCGGAAGGGAGAGGGAGAAACACTGATGTGAGCGAAACACATTGATTGCCTCCCGCCTGCCCCCCACCAGGGCTGGGAGTCTGCAGCTGAGGTACATGCCCTTGACTGGAATCAAACCTAGGACCCTTCAGTACGCACGCCGACGCTCTATCCACTGAGCCAAACCGGCTAGGGCATGATTTCTTCTGTACAAAGCACTTTCATCTACATCAATTCCGAGGGAGGTGTGATCATCCCCGCTTCCCACGAGGAAATGAAGACCCAAGGTAACTCAGCTGGGAACCACATCTAGACCAGAACCTGTGCTCTGTGGCCTTCTGCTTTCAGCATGTTGCCCCTCAGCCACACCCTCTCTCTCCTGGCTTCCATGGATTAGTACTTGGTTCTCCCACTGCCTATCATCTCTTCCTTCTCTGAATGCTTTTGACTCCTTTCTCTTTTTCTCACCCCCTACGTTCTTTCTTGGGCTCATTAAAAATGGTAATTATAAAAACAACATCAAGTTTTATACAAAGTCTCTTCACACATACCACCTTCACATTCTTTCCTTGATTTCCACAGCTACAAATACCACCTAATGCCAACAATAACTGTATTCCCATCCCTGCCCCCCTCCCACCACAATCTCCTGTACTCCTAACTGCCTAGTGGATCTCTTCTTGACTGTTCTTCAAACTCAGTGTGTCTAAAAGTGGTACTGATCTCAAACCTGTCTTCCATGCCCATAATATATTCTTGCAGTGATATTGCCCCAAGCATCCATACAGCTCCAATACTCTGACTTGACAAGGGCCAGTGACAGGGGCCAGAAGAGAAAGGCTAGGTTATGTTGATGCGTGATTGAGTAGGGGTTCAAGTAAGTATCAGTGCAGAACAGGATTTGGTGGGTGGCAAATAGTTGGGATGAATGGCAAGTCCAACAATCTGAAGGGAGGAACCATTTGAGCAAACATAACCCCAGTCCCCGGGCTAGTCCCGTGTGTTCCTGCAGTACCTGTATCAGGCCTGGGCTCTCCCAGGCCTCATCCCCCTGGGCTGAAGGTAGACTCTGGAGTGTTACAGAATGAGGCTGGTTTTGGAAGTGCCATAGCTAGTAGTTGATAGTTCTCACTCTTCTCGTTCATGCTTTGATTTATTGAGTAAACATTGTTTTAAGTGTTTCTTATGGAATATAATGGCATAAAAGCTTTAAAAATTGTGGTTAATTTTACAGGAGTATCTTGTTGGTTATATCATTCTTGAAGGAAAACACACCAATTTTGGTCCATCTATAACCTGGCATCTCCAAAGCTGACATAAGATGAGACTCTTTCCAACTGGAGGCACCAATCTTGTCTGGAAAACTTGGTCTTCGCCTGCCCCAAATCTCACCTTCTCCATAGTCTGGCTCAAGCAAGAGTGAGCCATATTTGTTGAG